ACCCCGCTCCTTGGGGCCCAGGGCTGCCAGCTGCCCCCGTCCCCCCCATCTCAGGGCCGTCTCCTCCCCCAGGGCTGGTGCTGGGAAAGCAGCTGCCCCAGTCCTACCAGGTGCTCACGGCCCCCATTTCCAAGGTCAGTGATGCAGGCATGCACTGGGGCTTGGAGCTGGCTGCATGCAGCCCCGTGCCAGCTGTGCCTGGGGTCCCCTGCCCGCCAGGCTCCCCGACTTGGCTGCGCTCCCCCCTCCAGGTCCTGGACCAGTGGTTCGAGTCTGAGCCTTTGAAGGCAACACTGGCGACCGATGCGGTGATCGGAGCTATGGCCAGTCCACACACACCGGGCAGTGGGTACGGGGCCGGGGCTCGTGGGACAACACGGGCCAGGGGTGCTGGAGGGGAATCCTGGGGTGCGGAGATGCCCTGCTGCCCCCCGTGTCACTGTGGAGGGGCCTGGGTAGTGCCCTGGGGGGTCTTGTCCTTGCCACAGGCATGATGCCAAACCGGCAAACCCCCACTTCATGCTGGGTTTTTGCCCCCCCGGCCCCCAGCTGCAATGCGCCTGCTCCGGGGCTCACACCATTGCCTGGGCTGCGTGAACGGAGCTGGGGCAACTGCAAGGGGACCCCTTTGTACTGGATCACTATTGAAGTGCTGGGCGCTCAGTGCTGCAGCTCCCACTCCTTCCCCCCACGGGCCCTGCTGCACCTGCCGGCTGTCCCCGCCTGGCCCCGGTCAGCTCTGTCCCGTTGTGCCCAGGTACGTGCTGCTGCACCATGTGATGGGCGAGCTGCAGGGGCAGCAGGGTGCCTGGGCCTACGTGGCCGGCGGCATGGGAGCGCTGTCCCAGGCCATCGCCTGTGCGGCCGCTGCCCACGGTGCACACATCTTCACCGAGAAGGTGCTCGCAACCCCCAGCCCCTGCCGGGAGCAGTGTGCTCGGCTCTGGGGAGCAGCCCCACTGGGCCCCTGCCCATCCCCTCGTCCGGGTGCTGCTGCGAGATGGCACCCAGACGCTGCGGTGAGGGGCACTGGGCTGGGATAGAGGGTGGAGGCCGCAGCATCCCCGTGGGACCCGCTTACCAGAGCCTGGGTCAAGGGGCTGCAGGGTGGTCCCCTGTGCAGAGCCAGCCAGGGCACCGGGCTCTGCCCTGGGCTGGGAGCACAGGCCCCTGCCACAAGAGATGCCCCCTGCCACCAGCACTCGGTACTAACCCCCCGTGCCCCCAGCCCGTGGCCCGCGTGCTGGTGGGAACCAATGGAGCGGCATGCGGTGTGGCACTGGGGGACGGGACAGAGCTGCGGACCCGCCTGGTGCTATCCAACGCCTCCCCGCAGCACACCTTCCTGCAGCTCGTGCCCCAGGTGAGGCGCCTCGTGGGCAGTTGAGACCTGGCGGGCAGCTCCCAGCCCTGGCTCTGCTCCCTGGGGGGTCCAGGACGCGGAGCAAGCTGCCCAGCCCCGGCTCCGCTCCCCGCGGCTGCCCCCAGCTCTTTTCCAGCCCCTCAAGCTTGAGCTGCACTCTGCCCCCAGGAGCAGCTGCCGGCGGCATTCGTCCGGCAGGTCGCCCAGCTGGACACGCGCTCCCCCGTCACCAAGATCAACGGTAGGCGGCTGTCGGGGGGGCTCGAGGCTGCGGCCAGGGTCTGCACCGCTCTCCCTGCTCCGGCCGCTGGCGTCTCCGTCTCACCAGCCCCTGACGCCCGCAGTGGCCGGGGGCCCGGCGGG